AAAAAAAAAAAAAAATCAATTAAACAGGGTGGTGCCTGTTTATCAGTGGCTAGGGCACCGACCCCTTATACTGAGTGTGGCTGGTTGGAACCCAGCCCTGGCCAAACTGCAACAAAAAAAGCACCAGGTGTTGTTGGTGGGTACCTGTAGTCCCAGCTGCTTGGGAGGCTGAGGTAGAACTGTGTAAGCCCAGGAGCTAGAGGTTGCTATGAGCTCTGACATTACGGCACTCTACCGAGGGTGATAACGTGAAACTCTGTCTCAAAAAAAAATGAAAATAAAAAATCAATTAAATAAACAATAAAAATAAAATTAAATAAATAAAAAGTCTCCACTGTACCCCATGATAGTATTAATGTACACTGTTACGATTTAATAAAAATAAATAAATAAATAAAGTCTCTATACTCGTAATTCTGTATTCAGTTTTTTCTTTTTTTTTTTTTGAGACAGAGTCTCACTTTGTCACGCTGGGTAGAGTGCTGTGGTGTCATAGCTCACAGCAACCTCCAATTTTTGGGCGTAACTGATTCTCTTGCCTCAGTCTCCTAAATAGCTGGGACTACAGGTGCCCACCAAAACACTTGGCTATTTTTTTTGTTGTTGCTGTTGCAGTTATTTTAGCTGGCCCAGGCGGGGTTTGAACCCACTACCTTCAATGTATATGGCTGGCACCATAACCACTGTGCTACAGGGGCCGAGCTCTTATTTAGCTTTTTTATTTAAGTGTTACTTCACAAGCAAGCGCCCATGTTACTACATATCTTTCATTTTAATAAGGCTGTAATACATGTAGACTTCAAACTTTTGGAAATATAATTCAAATATGATAAAATTCACTTTTTTAAAGTGTACCATTTAGTAGTGTTTAGTATACCCACAAACTAGTGCAACCATCACCACTATCTACTTGCAGATATTTTCATCACTCCCAAAAGAAACAGCATCCACTGGCTGTCACTCCCTGCTCCCACTCCTCATCCCACCTCATAGTCCCTTGTAGCCATTGACCCACTAATATTTTCTGCCTCTATAGATTTGCCACTTCTGGACATTTCTTATCGATGGAGTTATACAAAATGTGGCCTTCTGTGTTCTTTTTATGGCTAAATAATATCCCATTGTATAGACACACATATTTTATTCATTCATTCATCAGTTGATGGACATTTGGGTTGTTTTCACTTTTGTCTTGGGTTGGCCCAGCATTGTTAGATCTCAACACAGTCTAGGGCTCTCCCTATATTCAATCCTGCTGCTTCTCCCGTTTACTGTTCACAAGCCTGTGGATATCTATACACAAGGTTTTTTTTTATTTTTTTTTTAAGAGACAGAGTCTCACTTTGTCACCCTCGGTAGAATGCAGTAGCCTCAAAGCTCACAGCAACCTCCAGCTCTTGGGCTTAGGCGATTCTCTTGCCTCAGCCTGCCAAGAAACTGGGACTACCGGAGCCCGCCACAACGCCTGGCTATTTTTTTGTTGCAGTTTGGCAGGGGCCAGGTTCAAACCCATCACCCTTGGTATATGGGGCCGGCATCCTAACCACTGAGCCACAGGCACTGCCTTATACACAAGTTTTTGAAGGAACATAAGTTTTCAGTTCACCTAGGAATGAAATAGTTGAGTCATATGAAAACTTATTTTAACTTTTTTTTTTTTTTTTTTTTGCAGTTTTTGGCCAGGGCTGAGTTTGAACCCACCACCTCTGGCATATGGGGCTGATGCCCTACTCTTTTGAGCCACAGGCGCAGCCCTAAAGTTTAACTTTTTAAGGAACTGTCAAACTGTTTCCCAAAGCAGCTACAGTATTTTACATTTCCACTAGCAACTGTGCATGGGTTCCAATTTCTCCACATCCTCACCAACACTTGGTATTGATTATAGCCAATCTAGCAGGTATGAAAAATTGACATTTTGATTTGCATTTCCCTAATGATTTTTTTTTTTTTTTTTGAGACAAGAGTCTCACTTTGTTGCCCTCGGTAGAGTGCCATGGCATTGCAGCTCATAGCAACCTCAAATTCTTGGGCTCAAGCGATTCTCTTCCCTCAGCCTCCTGAGTAGCTGGGACTACAAGTGCCCACCACAACGCCCATCTATTTTTAGAGATGGGGTCTTGCTTAGGCTGATCTCAAACCCGTGAGCTCAGGCAGTCTACCTGCCTCTGCCTCCCAGAGTGCTAGGATTACAGGCATGAGCCACCTTGCCAGGCTTATTTCCCTAATGATTAATGCTGTTAAGGCTGGACATGTAGGCTCACACCTGTAGCCCCAGCACTTCAGGAGGCAGAGGTAAGAGGATCATATGAGGCCAAACATGTCTCTTCTGATCTTTTTTTTTTTGAGACGGAGCCTCAAGCTATCCCCCTGGGTAGAGTGCCATGGCATCACGCTCACAGCAACCTCCAACTCCTGGGC